ACTATTTGGTTTCTTCACTTCTGGACTATTTTAATCAAGACTGGCCATGTGCGGGGTCAGCCAGACTCTTAGTTTCTTAGAGGGTGTGGGAGTCTCAGAGATCTGCCCCCCTCAGCCCCAGTACAAACACTTGGGGACAATTTGAAAAACATTCATCATGAGGTCCCTTTCATGTTAAACCATTTCTAACAGATATAGGTTTTCAGATGAAGCCTAAGTGATTTGTTTTTCCTTCCTCGTGTATGATAATTTGTGCAGCCGTAAGTGTGTGTGTGTGTGTGTGTGTGTGTGTGTATATCTTAAAGTAAGTTACTCTTTGAGAAAGTACGTTTACAGATGAATTTTCCTGAGTGTCTCCTCTTTGTGTTCTGCCAGCCTAGTCTACGGTGTTGCCACCTTTCCCCACATCCAGACTTTATTGACTCATTTAAGGTTTGTTTTAGCAACAAAGGGCTGGTGGCTTTGTAGCTGTTGAACCCCATCATCTGTCTCGTGCAAAGCCTGCCCCAGGTGCATAATTTGTGGTTACTTTCAACGATGTTCATATCTTGCCTTTTTCTTCGCACGTAAAAGAACCTTTTGTGCTGAGAAATATTAACAGCCCTTTAGCGCACACATGGATATCACTCATTCTCCCCGTGTGATACGGCTCTTCACAGACGCTCAACTTGAGCTGGGTCTTACCCCTCAGTGTTTCTCGAAGATCTAATGTAAAGGAAGTGGATTCTTTATTTTCTTGTTCTTAAAAATAGTTTAAACAGATTCTATTGTGAATAACTCTCTTCAGTCATTTGTATGTAGATGTGAACGCCATCCTCAGTTACTTTTTTTTTTTTTGGTCTCTTTTTCTGCATTTTTAAATTTTGGTAAAATGAACACAACAAAAGATTTACCATTTTAGCCATTTTTAAGTGTACAATTCAGTGGTATTAAGTACATTCACAGGGTTGTGCAACCATTGCTACCATCCATTTTATATCCTGTGGTGTGAATTTTGAGCAGAATTGCTTTTAATGTGAAGTTCAAAAAATTCATTGGAGGCAAGTGTAAAGAAACGATGCTGTGGACTGAGTGAATCCACTGTTGGAAAGAAAGAGAGGATAATTTTTCTTAAAGAATGTGGATAAAACTCTTCCTGCTTCCCTTCTCTGAGATGCTTTCTCTGAAGCGGAATTCAGCCCTGGGTGCATTGATTAAACCCAGACATTTCTACACCAACCCCTAAAAGAAAGGGAAACAGTGTCCCTGAACTTTGGCATCGTGAAGTCTATCTAGGAACATTTTAAGCCATAGCTGCCTGGTATACATTGGGAAGTTAATGCCGTGTCCATTTACCCATGAAATTGTCATCTAGTGACTGCATTTCAACCCTTATAAATACTTTCTAGTAATTCTACATGCTGGCTTTCCTTATACCCCTGAAGATAGCCAGTGTTCACAGGACCATTCGTATAATGCATTAAAGGCATCTATTTACAGATGAATTTTAGGAACTATATAATATCGTTCAAACTCTAACTTCTCCCTATATAAAAATTTGGGTCCCATTGAAAAGTCATTTTTGCATCAAAGATTTGTACAAAATAATAAAATTTAAGGAAAATTTTAAGACTTGGGACCAGGCTTATATATTAACTAGATTCCAAGCATCTATTTCCAGCCTCTTATTATTACCAAGATACGCTCAGTGTGGTCACAAAAATCTCTGCTGACTCAGTAAAGGACCTGATTCAGAGGGTAACTCTACCTCTCCTCGGGGTGTTCCATGAAGTGCTTAGTTGAACATCATTCCATAAAGGCATCCATTGTATGTTGATTTTTTACTTGTTTAGACTTCCAGCGTTGAATTGTAAAGTCTCATTTCCCAGCCTCTGTAAATCTAGATGAAGTTATCAAATTCACTTAGTTCCAGGAATTCTCTGGGAGACGTGAGTGCTTGCCAGCTGGTCAGATAATTGGTGGTTCAGTTTATAACAAATAGGAAATGTCAAGAATGGTGAGAAAGAAGAATTGTGAAACTGTAATGTGGTCTTCTCTTAAAAAGATGTTATGATGGGGCTTCCCTGGTGGCGCAGTGGTTGAGAGTCCGCCTGCCGATGTGGGGGACGCGGGTTCGTGCCCCAGTCCGGGAGGATCCCACGTGCCGCGGAGCGGCTGGGCCCGTGGGCCATGGCCGCTGAGCCTGTGCTACGCAGCGGGAGAGGCCACGGCGGTGAGAGGCCTGCGTACCGCAAAAAAAAAAAAAAAAAAAAGATCTTATGATACAGGAATTCTTCCACAGCTTCTTAGCACCTGGCCCATTTCTATCATGTTCTTACTAGCTAGCCTCTGCGGATTTTACTGGCCAGAGAAGAGGACCTCGAACAAGTAGCCATGCCTAAGTTATTCATACAGTTCTATGGAGGCAGGTGTGAGGAATTGAACTCAAGACCCCCCGTGAGCCTGGCTGGTGAATTCCCAAGTGCTCTCAGCATGACCGAGGGTGCGTTGCTTTGAGAAAGAAGTGGGAAATAAGATTGGTGACCAGTAATCCGTTCAGCTGTTAACACTGGATAAACATAGGGGTGTGTGGGCTGGGGTAGTGGGGGGGATACGTTTGACAGACAAGGACGGGGTTTACACACCATTACATGTTAGTTCTGCCATCAGGGCGAGTGAAACGACTCTCCTGGTGACCCTTGGACCGGGCATTCAAAGTCTAGAGCCTGGTGAGTTTGGGATTATCCATGGAGACTACCGCATGCCCTTAGATAACTGAATATCTTCTGGATTTCAACCATGAGGAATATGGGAGCACAAAGTGGTGTCTGTTTAAAAAAAAGAAAGATGCTTTATGGCTGGACACAGAAGCATCTTTGCTGGCCCCTCAGGTCACGCTATTGGGTGGCCTAATGGATGTGCCCATCATTGTACTTGTCAGGCTCTGACTGCTACTGCCAATTAGTCTCCTGGGTTACTAATTGGCTCCTAAATTGCTCTGCTCTTAGCAGAGGGGAAGTGAAAGTATAAAACCAGCAACTGGAGACAACACTGCCTTGAAACAGTTTTCTTGCAGCGTTTGATCTGTGTGGTGAAATTGGATCCATTTTGCAAGTGGGTGTTAGGAATCTACCAGATAGTGAAGAGAAACCAAGGCTTATGATTCTAAGCTCTTTAGGGTAGAAAGGGAAGATGATATATATGAACCCACTGTCTACCCTAAAGAGCTTCGAATCCTATGCCTTGGTTTCTCTTCACTATCTGGTAGATTCCTAACACCCACTTGCAAAATGGATCCAATTTCACCACACAGATCAAACGCTGCAAGAAAACTGTTTCAAGGCAGTGTTGTCTCCAGTTGCTGGTTTTATAGATTCAGGGTATAGAAAATACATATTTCAGCAGACATTGAGGGACTGCCAGGGGCTGCGCTAGCCAATAGGAATAGAAAGGTGAACAGGTAGCCCAGAGTTTCATTGGGGAGACAGACTCATAGATGTTTAACTACAGAGAATACAGTGGAATGAGTAATTGTATTCATTTGTTCATTCATTTCAACAAGACTGGTTGGCATTTAGGCATCGTGGGTAAGGCGATTAATAACCTATGGCCTAAAAAAATAAGTAACCTATGGCCTTTACCCTCAGTTCCTATGAAGTCTAGATGAGAGTTTATGCAAAGTCTAGAGAAGAAAGCCGTACATTCTGCCACATTTGGCCGGGGGTGGAGGGGGAAGCAAGAGGAACAGGGACAGGCTTTCAGCTGCCACAAAAAGGGCATGGGATCATGAGCTGACAAGTTACAGAAATGCACACAAATGTTAATAGCGGCTTTATTCACAATTGCCCAGACTTGGGCAACCGAGATGTCCTTCAGCAAGTGAATGGGTAAACAAGCTGTGGTCCATCCACACAGTGGTGTATTAGTCATCCATAAAAAGAATGGAGGAAACTTCAATGCATACTGCTAAGTGAAAGAAGCCAATCTGAAAAGGCAACATTCTATACAATTCCAACTACACGACATTCTAGAAGAGGCAAAACTGGAGAGACAATAAAACGATCAGTGGTTGCCAGGAGTTTGGGGGGTGGTGAGCGCGGACGAAGGGAGCACAGGGGATGTTTAGGCTGGTGAAACTCTCTTGTGTGATCCGGTTATGGGGGCTCTGTGATAGTATGCATTTGTTGAAATCCGTAGAACGATACAGCACAAAGAGTGAATCCCAGCGTAAAGTATGGACTTCGGATGGTGATGATGTATCAGTATTGGCTCAACGATTGTAACAAATGTACCATACTAACCCAAGATGTTAGTAAGTGGGGCCCTGGGTGTGGTGGGGAGAGGTGTGTGAGAATTCTCCCCACGTACTTCCTGCTCAATTTTCTGTAAACCGAAAACTGCTATAAAAAAATAAAGTGTTATTTCTGTAATTTATTAAGTATTTACAGTGGTGTGTTAAGTTCTGCTGTACAGCAAAGAGTTTCAGTTGTACACATATATACATTCTTTTTCATATTCTTTTCCACCGTGATTGATCACAGGGTACTGAGTATGGTTCCCTGTGCGATGCAGTAGGACCTTGTCGTTCATCCATTGTGTGTATGAGTCTGCATCTGCTGATCCCAAACTCCCAATCCATCACTCCTCCACCCCCCTCCCCCCAGCAGCCACAGGTTTGCTCTCTCTGTCTGTGAGTCTGTTTCACAGATAAGTTCATTTGTCGCATATTTTAGATTCCACATATAAGTGATATCATATGGCATTTGCCTGTTATTTTTAAGGGGGGTAGTGCCTGGCCTTGGGGTAGGGAGAAGATGGCAGAGGTCAGCACCTAAGTGTGAGGGCAACATGAGAAGGGAATTGGTGGTGGGCACGGGGCCGGTGACCAGGGTGTAGTGGCGGTGCTTGGTGGCGAGCGGTTACAGACTCGGGCATGAAGAGGCTTCCTGTAGTGGGAGCCACGGTGTGCGTCCCCAGTTGCCTGTCTCAGAGGGCGTAACTCCCGCTGTTTCTGTTCCCAGCAAAGAGCCCCGGGGAAAGTGCTGCTGGATGCGGTGTGCAGCCACCTGAACCTCGTGGAAGGAGATTATTTTGGCCTCGAGTTTCCCGACCACAAGAAGATCACGGTAGGTGACGTCCATGGGATGTTGCTGTTTTACTGTCTGTTCGACTTGGGGGAGGGAAATAATTGGGACCTTCCTTGGCCATACGGAAATGTACAACAGAAAAGGTACCCAGAAAGCCCTTGTTAATCTGTTTTTGTGTGCATATGATTAGCAAGTTCAAAGAGAATACACAGTGCAGGCTGTCCCGCCTCCCCATCTCCCTCCACCTCTCCCTCTAAGAACCTCCATCACCAGTGTCTTGTGTATCCTTCTGATCAGAGTCTGTGTATATGTGTACACAAACACGTAATTTTTGTTTATACTGGGGTATAGTTGATTAACAATGTTGTGTTAGTTGCATTTATTTTATTTTTATATTAGGGTATAGTTAACAATGTTGTGTTTCAACAGACACTTTTTTTTTTTTTTTTTTTTTTTGCGGTACACGGGCCTCTCACTGCCGTGGCCTCTCTCGTTGCGGAGCACAGGCTCCGGATGTGCAGGCTCAGCAGCCATGACTCACGGGCCCAGCCGCTCCGCGGCATGCCGGGGCACGAACCCCCCGCATCGGTAGGCGGACTCTCAACCACTGCTCCACCAGGGAAGCCCAACAGACACATATTTTTGAAATACGATAATGTGAGGAAACAATACACAGTGCCCTGTACTCCACCCACACACCGTTCATATATCCTGGACATCTTTCCTCTTCAGCACATAGAATCCGCTTCCTTCCTTTTCACAGTTTCATGCTGTTCTGCTGAATGGATGTGCCGTAACTTACAAGCCTGGCTGTAAAGGGTGGGATGCTTAGGTTGTACTGAATCATGTGCTTTTACAAATGGTGCTCCAGTGAACATACTGATACGTTCATGTTTGCGTTCATGGTCAGGGGTTTCTCTCAGTAGTTCAGATCCACAGGCATGGAAGTTGCATCATCCGTGGGTTTGAGCATCTTAAAGTTTGCTAGATGTGTCATGTCGTTCTTTGAAAAGGTCTCACTGATTTGAGCCCCACATTTAGAACATAGAGCACCGTTCTTTTTTCTCTTTTGGCCGATGGTACTTTCTTAAGGCTGTATCCTAGTCTACCTCTTATGAGACACCCTGTTAGGGTGTAAGTTCATGGACTGCATTTCTATTCCGTGCACACTGAGTGCCTGGAACTTTTGCTGGCCCCTGCACTGGGGATCCAACAGGAGTGAGAGGGAGAGAATGTATAATCCAGGTGGGGCATCGGACTGAGTCAGTGGCCAGTTCAGGACATGTGGCAGGTGGTCCACTGGAGCCTGGGGGCGTTGGGCAGTGGGAGCAACAAACAGCATTTGTGTTCAGGAAATCCTTCACAGATACTGCGAGACAGAGTCCTATGAGGCCAGGAGGAGTTGACCTGATAGAATGTTCCAGGGAGGGGGAGCACCAGATGCCCAAAGACCAGACAGCAAGTGGGCTATTCAGAAACCTGCAGAGAAGGCTGAAGTTTAGAGGTGAGGGAGCAGGGCTCTGCTGATGGAGGTGAGAGAGAGAACCGGAGCCAGGTCTATACGGAAGGGCTTTCTGCCCCATTGCTATCTAGTAGAAACGGAAGATGAACCACTCACTTAATTTCAAGTTTTCTAGCAGTTATGTTCAAAAAGTTTTTAAAAAGTGAAATTAATTTAATAGCCTGTTTAATTTGATTTAACACATCTAAAATCATTATCATTTCAACATGTGATCAGTCTGAAAACCTACGAATAACAGATTTTACACTTTTTTCCTGCTAAGTCTTTGAATCTGATATGTATGTGACACTCACAGCCAGACCAGCTGTATCTCAGGTGCTCAGTGGTCACGTGTAGCTAGCGGCCCTTGTATGGGACGGCACAGTTCTGCACCGAGCTAATGTGTTTAGGAAGCTGGTAATGCATTTTAAAGGGAGCGTGGGGGGAATTCCCTGGTGGCCCAGTGGTTAGGACATGGGCTTTCACTGCCATGGACCTGGGTTCAAGCCCTGGTTGGGGAGCTAAGCTCCCACAAGCCGCGTGCGAGGCACGGCCATAAATAAATAAATAATGAAATGAATAAAAAATAAAGGGAGTGTGATATGGTCTGATTTATGGCTTAGAAAGACAACTGTAGCCAGATTGGAATTGGACGAGAGTCAGGAGAGCTGTTCGGGGTTCATGGTATCGGGCTGGAGATGGTGCTGGCTGGGACTGATGCAGCGTCTGGGAATGGCTGGCGGGAACTGAGCCTGCACTTGAAGACGTGCACAAATCGTGTTTTCGAGACATGCATCTAACCTCTAAGCCCTCTTTGCCGTTTTCTAGTGCTTATGTTAGCTCGAAGCTGCCCTGACTCCCTGTCCTCTTTCTGATGTGGCAGACGACCGCAGAAGGGCCACATCTAATTCCACATTCATTTATGCATCGAGCGATTATTTTGTGCCAGTGCCGCGTCCTGCATCACACTTCATACGGCAGAAGACACCTGATATGAAGGGACAGCTAGCAAGTAACAGTTACTGTTTCCAGTCATTAGACGAGCCTGCTTAGGAAGGTTGACAAGGAAACAAATAATTATCATACAGTGTAGCCAGGTCAGTGGACCATTGTTTCATAAACTTGTTTTATGTTAAAATAAGGATTCTCAAGACACTTGAAGATTTGTTCTCTCATTATTTCTAGCAACGCTGCCTGCATAAGTCAGGGTCCCAACGGCTTTCCTGACTCCAGTCTTGTCCCGTTCCGATCCTGCTGGAGTTTCTTTTCTCAACCGTAAATTAGCAGTGGTGAGGGTACCAAGACTGAGAATCGTTCCGCATCTGGGTCAACCAGTTAGCTAATGGCAGAGCTAGGATTCTAACCCCATTTTTCTGACCTCAAGTTCAGTGCCTTTTGTGTTGACCTTGGGTGCTTCTCTTTTGCAAGCGTTTACAGACCTGTTAATCTTTCAGGGTACCTCCAGGGCTGACTTGTTTCAAGTTTTATCAGGCTTCATTTTTGTGATTTCACCGTTTCCTTATCATATTGTTTAGGAATGTGTTCAACTGAAAAATTCCCTAAACCCATTAATGATAACTAAAAGAAAGAGATAATTGTTGCAAATAAAGGCCACTACCTGAGTGCTCACCATGCACCAGGCTGCTCTAGTTCCTGTGGACACAACAGCAAACATGGCCCATATTCTAGAGCAGGGATCAGCAAACTTTAGTCAAGGGCCAGATAGTGAATATTAGAATAGACGTTTCATGCCAGAGAGTCTCTACTCCAGCTTTCAGTTCTACCCTTGTAGTGTAAATGAATCGGCATGGATTTGTTCCAGTAAAACTTTATTTATAAAATAGGAAGCTGTAGTTTGCCAACACGTGCTCTAGGAAGTAATAGCTCTGTTCAAGGCATCATAATAGGTTTATGTACACTGTTTTGTTTATTCCGGTTCCTTTATCCTAGCCCATTATACCTCCTTTTTCTGATAAGGAAGCTAAGGCTTAAAGAGTAAGTCCTTTTCAACCAGGCAGACAGCTGAGCAGTGATAGATCCAGGATTCAAGTTCAGATCTTTCTAAATGCTCTTGGTCACCATCCTGCTCTGACCCTGTCTCTGTATTTTGCTCTATGTCAATTTCACATCGCAACGTGAAAGCTAATTTCATGTAATTTTCAAAGTAGGTTGTTTTAACAAAATCGATCTGTGGTATTAGGTGGGATGGTGCAAATGGGTACAAGGAGGGCTTCTGGGGTCCTGGCCATGTTCTTTTTCTTGATCTCAGTGCTTGCTCTATGGATGCAATCAGTTTGTAAAAATTCAGTGAGCCATACACTTGTAACACGTACACTTGTAATGTGTGTACACACACACACACACACACACACACACACACATCTTCAATAAAAGTTTACCCCCAAAATGCAGTGAACTAAAAGCACACAGGAACAGAAATCATGACCAAAAAGCACCCAGAGGCTGGCTGATGGAATCTGTTTTGGAAGAACCTAGGACGAGTCTCGATTGGATGAACTGAGGGAAAGCCACTCACGTGTGAGACTAGTGAACACTAGCTGCATTTCACCTCTGCTCTCAGATAAACTTGCTTGAAGATTTAAGATTTACATCATAGGGTTTTTGTCTGCTTCCCAGATTCTGTCAGTGCTGACTTCCTAGCTGGCTGTTGTATCATAGTGGTGGGTCGGACTGCCAGCCCCCAAACCCCTGCTTTGCCTCTTAGCAGCGGGGTGACTGGGGCAGGTTGCTGGCCTTCCAGTGTCTCACTTTGCCTGAAGGTAAAATGGGGACGATGGTGCCCATCTCGTGGGGTTTTTGAAACGATCAAACACGGTATCTGTCAGCATGTAGCCCGGGGTCTGGGAACTATGTATGTAGTGTTCAGAAAGTATTAGTTATGGAAACTATCATCATCATTTTCATCATTACAGTTTTTTGTGGTCAAACACAGATAACATGAAATTTATCATCTTAACCATTTTCAAGTAAGTCTATAGCAGTACAGTGGTGTTAACTGTATTCATTGTTGTGCAGTAGGTCTCTAGAACATTTTCATCATGTAAAACTGAAACTCCATACCCATTAAACAACAGCTTCCTTTCCTCTTCCCCAGCCCCGGTAGCTACCATTCTACTTTCTGTTTCTATGAGTTCGACCACTTTGGATACCTCCTATAAGTGGCATCATACATTATTTGTTGTTTTCGGTCTGGCTTATTTCACTTAGTGTAATGTCCTCAAGGTCCATCCGTGTTGGAGCATGTGTCAGAATGTATTTTTTTTCTCTTAATATTTATTTTTGGCTGCATTGGCTCTTGGTTGCCAGGCTCCGGCTTCCTCTAGTTGTGGCGAGCGGGGGCTACTCTTCGTTGTGGTGTGCGGGCTTCTCATTGTGGTGGCTTCTCTTGTTGCAGAGCACAGGCTCTAGGTGTGAGGGCTTCAGTAGTTGTGGCTCGCGGGCTCTAGAGCGCAGGCTCAGTAGTTGTGGCGCACGGGCTTAGGTTGCTCCGTGGCATGTGGGATCTTCCAGGACCAGA